AGTAATAAACAGGTTAAAAACCAAACTAAATCGCATTGATGTTGACATTGATGTTGACATTGATGTTGCCTGATTTCAAATAGGTCCTGTAGTGTGATCCACTTTGGGGCAAAAAACAAAAAAAAGGCAGTAAAATAGATACAATAATTTTCAAGCCATTAAATAACAGTTTAGAAAAAACCCATACGTATACTGATATGGAAAATACAAAAATACATATTAATAAGTAGAAGCAGATTATGTTCTGACTTTGACTGGACAACCTCAATCTGTAAAGTTTTGTTGTTGTTTTTCTTTCGGTTATTTTTCTCAACTTCCCTGTACTAAGTATTGTGTGCCGTGGCACGATTTTGTTGAAAATATTATTTATGTACATTGGATATTTATAATGCTTTAGGTGTGTTGATTTATACTGAGTGTTCAATAGCGTACAATAGTATCCTCCTCGTGCGTTTTGCACTTTGTTATGGCACTTTGGTTTGAGGTTATTCGCTATTACGTTTGATAAAATTACCACAAAAAATGTTTGTTTTGAAGTTGAATATGCGTTCAAAGATGAAATAAAAATGATAACATTATCAGCACCACCACCTACGTTCGTCTTGTACTTTGTAACGGAATGCGATGAAAAAAAAACAACAACAACAACAACAAAACAAAAAAAAACACACAAAAAACACAAAAAACAACCAAAATTAGAATACTGTATATTGGGCTTTTTTCGAGCGCGTCTTCATTTAACAATTTTCACTATTTTAAATGAAACTCGTGAATCCAAGTCGTTTGCAAGTTGTTAAAAGAGGCGCTTCTGCAATGTTACACATGCCACTTGAAGACTTAAATCGCAAATTTAAAAAAAAAGTGTTCACGAAAATTGAAAAGGCTAAACGTGTAATAAGTAGAGCAAACCAAAGAAGCCCCAACAACAACAACAACAACAACAACAACAACAACAACAACAACAACAACAACAACAACAAAAGACAACCAGACCAAAAACAAGACAGAGAAAAAAAGAACCCTCAACAAAAGCATAAACAAACTGGTGTTCAGATACACACTCATAAAACAAAGGTAGTGTCAATTCCCACCGAGTGACGCAGTGGCAATTGACAAAAATTGACTTTTTGTCAATTGCCACCGAGTAAATTGGAGCTCTTTTGCGTTGGTG